AAATCGAATACAATATCCATGTAGTGGTTTATCCTCTGGAGCGTCGACGCAATCTTGCGCCAGTAGAGTTTTGACGGGATCTTGAATTTTTTTAATACCAATAATTTAATAAAAAATAAAAATAACGATTTGTTTAGGTTCTTTAGTCACAAATAAATTGTTCGAAATGGTTTTTAAAATCGTGTCAAATATATCCCAAAATAATGTTACCGTCTTAAAAGGGTGGCAACGTACCTGCGGTTCACAGTGAGTCTGCCGTTGCCTCCTGTTATGTATAAAATGAATGTTTCAAGTATAAATATAACGATGTAGTTTTTTACGTTTAATGTATAATAATGCAAATCATTCTTTACAATAGCAATAAATTTCCCACGCTACACATACCTTGGCGATTGCTTATTTAAAATTAGATTTTTATATATGAAAATAAAAATTCTAAAGTCTTCAAAGTAGTATGTAATGAACATGTTATTACGTAGGATCCGAAAATAATTTCTCTGTGTATTGAGGAAATCTGGCGTTGAAGTCTTGGCTATGGTGTCTACCAACCATTTTCCTCATATCTTCTATTACATAGGTTATAAGGAAAAATGCATTGGGCATGTCTTGGAAGAAAAGAGCCTACCAATTCTTAAAAGGCAACGCACTCACGAGTCCATTGGCATTGAAAGTGTCCATGGGCGGCGGTATAACTTAATATCAGGTGAGCCTTCTGCCCGTTTGTTCCCTGTTCTATCAAAAAAAGATGGACTTACCCGTACAGCGCGTTTTGGTATATCGCAATTTCCATCCCCCATCTAACGAGGGATATCCCACCTATAACGCGGAGATTTCTCGAGTTATATTTCTGTAGTGTACTCGTATATGTATAAATATTTGTCAAGCCCTTAATGAGTTTTGCGTACCGTTGCACCTCGATTGTGTTGTTATAAAACTAAACTAAATTACTTTATTAAATTCGTGTTCCTAGTTTTTGAATTGTACACATTTACGAGAATACTCCTACAACGCGATTTCCTATGACACAGTCCGGTTTTAACGCGTTATAGGGATGATTACTGAAGTTCACCCCAGAACAGAACAGTTCAGTTTAGTATTCTTTAGTATCTTATTAGATAGGATACTAGTAGAAATATCTTTGTAAATTAACTATAGCTGATAAAACCCAGTGACACAAAATCACGTATTACATATTAATATCTACTTGGTAACGAAGTATTTCATTACGCGAGTAAGCAATAAAAAATTTGTCAACACTGGTACTAATATTGCAAAGGCTAGACAAATAATATGAATTATACATATTACACTTACATTCATTTAACCAGTAGTAGAACCAGCTACTCACTGAAGTGTTTTCGAACCAATTCGACTTATGGTCCTTCAAAAAAAGAGCGTTCCAATTATTAAACGGCAACGCACTCACCTCCTGTCCGTTTGCCCCCTGTTCTATAAAAAAACCGTGAAAATATAAATGCAAATTTCATAACCAGAAATTTCTAGTTTTTCAAACACAGTGCTTCACAATTAACGCCCTTTCTTTAAATAATATAAATCGCATAATTAAAATAAACAATACGATAATATCTTTACCTCATAACCGGATGTGACGTAATTCGTTTGTTTGTCGAGTATTCCTGGACTAGATGTGATTAGCTAAATTTCAGTCTTCGTTGAATTGATCGACTTTGACTACATGTTAATTAGTACTACGATTACATTATAAAATAATTGTGCTTTGTGTTTCTTATAAAAAGCTACAATATCAGCATATAAATGACTAAATTATCCTCCAAGAAGCTTGGTGTGCTCAGCAAGGGGAGACGGTACTTCACTCCGGCCCATCGCTAGCAACCATATAAACCGCAAATTCGCCCCACATGGAGTACCGTTCACTCCTCTGGGCGAGAGCTCCCCAGTACCAGCTCCTTCAACTTGACCGTATCCAACGAAGAGCGGTTCGAATAGTCGATAACCACTTGCAGCAAGTATTTCCGAACCAATTTGACTTCCTTCAAGAAAAGAGCGTACCAATTATTAAAAGGCTGGCACTCACGAGCCCTATGATATTCAAAAGTGTCCATGTCTGTATTAATTAACATCAGGTCAGCCTCCTTCCCTCCAGCCTTTGCCGATTGTTTTATTTAAATAAAAAATGTTAAAAAGGTGACCCAATTAAGTTCAGTGGTTGTATGGATATATTCAAATAAAACACTTTGTTTGAAGCTGGGTAATAACTGACTTTAATGGTTTAAAATATGAGCTAACTAACATAAAATTAGGAGGGGTGGGGTTGCGACGCTAACAAAACCTAACTTGGCTTATCAAAGGGTTCATAAATCTAAGTGATACTTAAATACACGTATAGTCGACTTTTTTGGACTTTATCGGAAACGAGAATGTTATACAATTTATGAGTGTGGAAAAAACTAAAGGGCTCATATTGGCTTCAAGTTTGCGCTGATTGCTTACATTTTGTTTATGCTTCTAATTATTAACTAAAATATACATATGTAACTTAACTAATTTGATTACATAACTACCCTCACAGTTTTTTTTAGAAAGCCAGAGATAAACAAATTGATTGAGCTTTATTTAAAAAGATTTTAAATAATTACATATGAAGAATAAAATAAACATAGATAATACATTTTAATTTTTATTAATTAAAAGAGGTCAGGCACGAAAGGCCACGAGTGTAAGCCCGCATGGCGAAAGAATTCTATGTTACGGGTAGCATTTTTCAAATGCTTAAAAATCATAAAACTATTTTTGTGATAACTTAGTCAATCTATCGTTCTACCTACAAGCCTATAGCCTAGCCTAGAGAGCCAAAATGACAGGTAGAAGACCTGGCCGCATGCGCACGTCTTGGTTGAAGAATCTTCGGCAATGAGAGGGTTCAAAGAAAAGACACGAAAATTATCAGGTCACTCAGAAATAAATCTTATAATGAGTGTCTGAAAGCACTTGACCTTACTGATTTAGGAAGTAGGAGATTAAGAGGAAATCTTATTGAAACCTATATAATCCTCACTGGCCACTATAATGTTCCAGGAATTGAGAAGCTCTTTATTTTAAGTGAAATACACATTTGAGGGGTAGTTCTTTAAAAATTAAGACCACTCAACATAACACAAATTCCCTAAAGAACTTTCTCCCAAACCGAGTAGTGGCCGACTGGAATAGGCTTCTGGAAAGTGTAATCAGTGCACCATCTCTGAACTCCTTTAAAAATAGACTGGCGCGCATCAGTTTATTAAGCTGCTAGTGTGTTTATATACATTATAATAATCGTTTGTCAAAGCACCATGTCATTGTTTAGTAGTGCGGTATCCAAAATCAAAGTAGCCATGAGGATCGCCAAGCTTTTAAAAGAGGTGGCACTAAGGGCAGTAGCCTATTTAGTCATTATTAACTATCATTGCAACCTACCACAGTGATAACGCTCTCGACTTAGTAAAATTTGAGATACAAATAAACATTTTCATTTTCATTAGTCTTGAAGTTGTTTGTATCTGATATAGTTTCCTTAATGTCAATTACTGTTCGGGTACTGTGAAACTTCCAATAGCTATTTTGTATGCAATCCCCATGTAATTCTCTCAATATCCGTCCTGATCGCGCTATCTTGGGAACGCGGTACAAAGACTCATCAAGAAAAAGGATGGCAATTGCTAGCTATTATACTCTATTACATCGATGATTGAAAGCTTTTAGAGAGTCTTATTCGGGATTATTCGGCAGGGAGTGGCACAGTGCAGATTGAAATGGTGGGATTTGGAGGAGGCCAAAGAAGGGCAGATATCTAGGAATTAATGAGATGATAGAAATTGTATGTTGTAATTATGTATATTTAAATGTAAAGTATCTGAAATAAAACGCTTTTATTTAATTTATTTATTTATTAATACTTCGTTGCATACAGAAATATAATACAGTTGACATAGTTAAATGAAAAGGAGGGCAACTGGCGGCCTTATCGCTTTCGAACGATCTATTCCAGGCAAGCAGGCAAAAATACATAAGAAATCATAAAGACAAAACGAATGGAACAAAGCAAAGCAATTAATGTATGTAAACAGTGAAAGCAAAAGTGCTTATTAATCACGATAATTTTTTAATAATTTATTTTATCACTAGTCGGGCTAAACCTTTTGGTTCCTTCTATCATTATCATGAAAAGAATTCAAAGTCGCAAGTTAAATAAAGGTTTCGCCAGACTTTATTCTACCTGTGAACTTCTTAGGCGCTTATTATTTTTGTATGTTCTTCGATCATATGCAGCAGCCTGGACCAATTTTCTAAATTCTTAGATTATTGCTGAATTTAATTTATATTATCTTAACATCTCAATAACTACATTTTTTTTTGTTATTATTTTTGTGTTATTATATAAGAAAGCTATGGGCTAGGTACACAGCTACTATATTGTAAGAAATAGTTGAACTAGTTCTTAGGGTAGGAAATTGAACACTCCAATAATGACTTGATTCACTATAATTCCCTTGACTTTACATAAACGGTATAACTTCAAACTAAGGAAATTGCCCGTGCGCATGTCACCACTTCTTTTATAATATATTCCCTACTCCGACTCGACCATAACACTTCGGGCAGACGTTCGACGTCAATTCGTAACAATTCGTAAACAACCGAACGAGTCAAATGAGCAACTATGTACAATGTACATGCGCACTTGTAGCAAGATTCTTAAGAATATGTTTCATAAAAATGTTTAGAATTTAATTAAATACATAAAGCTAACAGTATCATAACCATATTTTATTGTTTCAGACCTAGGGCACACGCCGTGCCCTCTACAAACATACATCATACAGCCGTCAAAGATGACCATACAACCAATTAGAAGAAAACCATTTAAAGTGTTAAACACGTACCTCAACACATAGGACAAATTGTTAACTAACTAAAAGTATTTAGTGTTCCTTTTTGAGTGATATTAGTGTTTAAGTGCCATTGATTAGTTAAATATAACAATGTTGTTAAGTGTATTGCTATTTGTGGCTGTTGTGGGAGCTGATAGGAGACATCTACCTCCAACTTGTGATAGGTGAGTTTTATTAATAGCTTATATTATTAAAACCTTATTAATATCTTATATTATTAATTACTTATATTATCTAATATATAAAATTCTCGTGTCGCGGTGTTTGTGGTTAAACTCCTCCGAAACGGCTTGAACGATTCTCATGAAATTTTGTGTGCATATTGGGTATAACTGAGCATCGGACAACATCTATTTTTCATCCCCTCTAAATGTTAAGGGTAGTCCACCCTAATTTTTTTTATTTTTATTTTTTTATGATAGAGCATTAAAAAATACATACAACCCCTAATTTTCACCCCTCTACGATCAACCTTATTTTTTATTATAAATGATATACATGGCAAAACGACGTTTGCCGGATCAGCTAGTACCTTATAAAATTGAAAATATACTTTATTATGAAATATTGAAATTATATAACTCGTTTTATCAAGACTTTTAATTAGGAAAAGTATAAGTTGATTTTGACGAATTTGATACTGAGTATTATTTCATATAATAGGTATATATGTAATTAAAATAAACCTAAATGTATAATATTGGACGTAATAATATTATGCCTTTTTAATTATTTATATTATGTTAAGTATATTGTAAATACTCTTTATTTGTGTTAATATAAATAAAAAAATAGTTAAGATATATACAAAAGCAAAGAAAAACATAATAAATTTTTAAGTATTTGCATCAAGATTTCAACAGAAATTGTTTTCTGCCAAATAGCGAACGAAAAAAATTCTGCGTGAAAATTAAATAAATATAATTCGCGATATAATATAATACCAATATCATTGAATCAGGCACTAAACGGAAGTTGACATGACCTTGGTACTCATTCATACACCTGTTAATCTGCGTAGGAGTTATGGAACAGCCATGCAAATACTACGTTAAAAGAAGTGTATTAGTGAAATGGCTGACTCTTAACCCTGAGGTCGAGCATTCAAATCACGGCTGTGCATATAACAGTCGCTCGTAAGATGAAAATTAAGGAGTAACGTGCACTAATTAATTACCTAAAAAAATTAAATTTGAGGTCAGGACGAAAGGTTGTGAAAGGTTGTTGTGTAACTTGTAACTCTACTTTTTATATTTATTAACTGTTACCGTGCTTGTTAGTTCTCTAGTGTTGGTCTAGTGGCTTCAGCGTGCGACTCTCATCCCTGAGGTCGTAGATTCGATCCCCGGCTGTGCACCAATGGACTTTCTTTCTATGTGCGCATTTAACATTCGCTCGAACGGTGACGAAAACGTCGTGAGGAAACCGGCTCGCCGGAAATTAGATAAACAAATGATCATAAACAGATACATTAATATACAGATTTTAGTATTTAAGGGCTGGCGCACTTGCGAGCCTTCTAGCAATGTAAGTGTCCACGGGTATCACTTAACATCAGGTGACCCTTATGCCCGTTTGCCTCCCATTACACAAAAAAAAGGCCCAGTCCTAAAGAGGTTGTAGCGCCGCTGATATTTTTTTTTGTTACCCTATAATCTTTTTATACGAAATTAAACTTATGTAAAACTATGCATAATTTCGGTTTGCAATCCATACGAAAAAGCAACAAATGATCTGTTATATTCTTTTGACAGTTCATCTTATCGTTAGATAGATTAAAAAGTTATTTACAATTTAATACTACATACCCCTTGTAGCGTAATATACCGTAGCAAATTTTCGCCAACAATACTATGAGGGTAAAAATTTTACGGAACGTCACGAAGATGTGCAGCGTTTTTGTCAAAGAAAAGGGAGAGAGCGATTGAGACCGATTGAGAGAGAGTGAGAAGGGTGAATTACCTTATAGAACTTCTATTTTTAAAATTAAAATTTCGTAAAGAGAATTTATGAAATATTAGTATTTTATATTTTATGCATAGTAATTTATTGAAATCTCAAATGACGAATTGAAAAATAATATACCACGTGTTTTTATTATCGGAAAAATAAATTTAAAAAATTAAATTATTATTTGTATGAATTTTCGACACTTAATATTGTAATGACAATGAAATTCATTATATTCCTAACATATCTTCCTTTTTCCCTCCATCTAAGTCTCGGAAATCTAAAGCTTTAGATTTGTATAAATATGAACAAGAGTTAAAAATTAGTTTGGAAAAGAAGTTTCACTTCTGACGGTAAGCGTAGCGGTTAAAATTCAATAAAATAATTTAATTTAGTAATTCCCATTGTTAAATTATATTTAGGAAAATAATTATTGAAACTTATGTAAACAGGAAAATATACGAAAATGGCTTCATTATTATTTGGAATTAATACATGTAATAGAATCGTATCAAAATTGTTAAATATATAAAGGCATTTGGTACACATCGGTAATCGTTAACTTGAAATCAACGACGGTCAACGAGTCGATTTTTTAAGACTAATTGTATTCTTTTCTTTTAATTTGGGTTCTATTTGGTATGCGTTTAGGAAGGGAAAGTGATTAAATTTTTAAAGGCAAGGTGCTTTTGTGCGTGGGAGAGTATTTAGACCATAAATTTTGACAACAATTATAATTAAATATTCTTATTATAATGACATCATGATAATTAATAAGACATTTGAATGCCTATTTTTATATGGCTAATTGTTCGGTGTTGATTTTATTATTTATCAATTATTATTTTAATTAATTAATTATATTATTATTTTTATTAAAATACATTTTTACTAATCTGTGTAGCCAGATAAAAATGTATATGCAAAAACCTTAAACATACATCTTTAGAAGTATTGAACATGACTTTGAGGGTAGTACTGTAAAATTTTGAACGTTAAAGCAGTAATTAATTTAATTATTGTAAAAGTTTTAATTTTAAATATTATCTGTTTCTATTTCTGACTTTCATGATTGCCCATTCGTTGAGTCTCGCTTAAGTCCAATTCCTTACTTGGCACTTAGCGTTAGATAGATGAGATTTGATTTTGACACACGGAACTCAAAGTTTGAACGTCTCGAAATCTCTGACAATGACAGGTCTTTTAGTAAGGGAACATTCAAGTATTATGTAGCGAATATTTAGAGGGGAGGGGGGTTCCTCTTGTAAAACGTTACGATACGGGGCGGGGATTGAATTACCCGTAATTGTTAACATTATTTCAACTTTCCAGTACTTCACACCACATAATGGTAACTTTTAGGTATAAAGAGTCAGAACGAGTGGTCACAAAACGTTTTACTATTTGGTACAGAAAAACGTTACGGCGCGTTACATGGGGGGGGGGTCAAGAATCTCCAAAAAAATGCGTGACGTAACACTTGAATGATCTTTAAGGGTTTGACTAAATTAGGACAGTAAACCCCTTACACAAGGTACTCTTATAACACATTTTTATATAACGCGATTTCAGTCCCTCGTGTAACTCGGGGATTTCACACCTAATATTTCTGTACTGTGACATTTATAATATACGCTCATATTTCGTTCATAGCATAGTTTTTTTCGTAATATTCGATTTAAATAAACGAGAAAAGTTAAATGTGGATCATTTGTACATAACGCGTTATATTCATACAAGCGCGTTATGCGAGAATACTCCTACATCGTGTTTCCTATAACGCTGAACCAATCTGCCGTGTTATAGGAGAGACAATTGTTTATAATTTATTAATAATATTTTTTATTTTCTCCCATATAACATTTGCAACAAACAATAAGAATACAGTTCAGAAGGTATTGGGGACTGGTTTCAAAACTATACTATACCTATTAGATACAGTTATATTTCAGTGGGACAAATATATTGCGAAGCAGACTAAATAAGAAATGTCTGCTTATTAATACATTGTTTACTTGATCTTTGACATGTTTAATGTTAATTACTGTCTACAGTAATTAAATGGTTCAATTACTATCTCGTTTAATAAGTATATTATCTGTTAACTCTATTTTTAACCGATCACATACGTAGAATTGAAATCATTGCGACTTAGCGCCAATAAGTGCGTATCGATTCCTAAAAGCCGGCAATGCACTCGCGAGCATACTGGCAGTTTGAGTGCTATCGTTGTCCCCAAAAACTACAACTGCTGCTGTAAATCTATACTAATACTAGCAGACTCGGCCAAGCGTTGCCGTGGCTAAGTTTTTCGTTATATTACATAGTAGCAAACTATACCAGGGAAACGGTAGGAGAACACCAGTCATGGGAACCACAATGATTTTTGGTGGTTATGCCATTAAATTGTAGCTTAGGTGAAACGTTGGTACTTTTAACACAGCGCTATCTGTTAGAATTGTGACTATCAAATAATAAACAAATATTTTGCAATAAAATAATAGTGCGGCTATAAATTGAGATGTAAGCTATCCTATCTTTTAAGTTAGATCAAACTGGACACGGTGTGCAAATTTGATTGATATCGGTTCGGTAATTTAGGAGCCCATAGCGGACAAACAACGTGACACGTATTTTATATATATTAAGATTATAAAGAGGCACTGTTTGTGAGGTTGTGATTTTAAATTCCTTTACCAATAGAATGACACGTTATTTGTCATTATCTCGAAAAATGAAAAGAGAAAGACTATCAATGGTCGAACGTTTCTTACGAACGCTGTCTTAACTATAAAGTCGTGATTATAAAAGGGTGATTATTTGGCACATGCAGCGCCAGTCCCTCCAACATTTCCTCATTATACTACCTCTAAGAACCTTAAAAAAAAATTTGGACAGCTTTATAATGCCTACCCAAAAGTCAGCATGTCTACTTTTATAGTACGACCAACCACGCTCCAGAAGATAAACCACTCCTTATATGGAAATGGTATACGTTTTTACAACAAACTGCCAAGCCCAATTAGAGAATTGTTACTTTCAATTTAAAGCTCAACGTAAACCAATAAAGCTTTCTATAAATTTGATTATTTAAATGATCCTAATCCTTACAAACAACTTGGCGATTAAAAAGAGTGCGTAGAGTTTCTTGCCAGTTCTTCTTGTCCGCTTTATGCCCTTGACTTGCGAACTGATAGTAAATGTAAATTTAGAATCAATTTAACATCTTTTCTGTTGACGTTCATAAGGTTACCTATATGAATAAAGTTATAATATAAAAACAAACTATTTATCTATCTGATAAAGTAAAACAAAATCGACAGCTCGGAATTTATATAAGTTCACCGGCTTTTCAAGGCTTTCGGATCACATTCGGGCGGGTCGCTAATGTAAAAAAAATATTTAAATTATAAAAAAGTGCTCATGGCATTCGTGTTGTTTTAAATTTTTAAATCGTTGTTGACCTTGGACTTACTCGTATTTCTGCCCCACAGCTCAGTTCAGATGCGTTTTAATTAGGCGGTTTAATTGTTGATATCGCCATTTCAATATAAATTACATCATTGCATATAGCCGGTCTTGATCTTTACGATATTTTCTTACGAACAAAAAATCGCATGCAAATGTGGTACAAAGCTTTAGTAAGAATGCATCACTTCTGGGTTAAGAGTCGGAGTTAGACTTAGCTATGTCAAATTCCAATATGTTTTTGACTTCCGGGAGCCATACTTAGCAATGCGGTAATCAGTCCTGTCAATTTATGCCGTGTTGAGTTACTGAAGTTAAAACGGTGCAATCAAATTATTATATTTTTATGAATAAAGGAGAGAGTGTTAGCATATGAATAGATTTTCTAAAACTTAAAGTACAACGGTTTTTGAAAGGCCGGCAACGCACTTGCGAGCTCTCTTGCAATTTGTCTATGGGCGGCGATATCACTTAACCCCTGTTATATAAAAAACATACATAACTCAAGACCAAGGTATGAATCTATTATGATAAATGATGTGGAATATTTTCTTATAAAATCTTAACAGTAGGTACTAATTGAAATTAATTTGCATAACGCAAATTCTTTTCGATAGAAGGTCGTTTATTACACGATTCACTTCCCTATACTAGCAACACTCTTATATAAAGTGAAAGACAGGTTTTTTATGTAATAGGAGGCTAACGGGCAAGAGGCTCACCTGATGTTAAGTGATACCGCCGCCCATGGACACTCACATTGCCAGAAGGCTCGCAAGTGCGTTGCCGGCCTTTTAAGAATTGGTACGCTCTTTTCTTGAAGGAGCCCAAGTCGAATTGGTTCGGTAATACTTCAGTGTGCAGCTAGTTCCACATAGTGGTGACGCGCGGCAAAAATTGGCTTAAGAAACGCTCAGTTGTGGAACTACGGACGTCGAGGTGATACAAATGTTTTCTGCCTTGACGTCCGATAATGAAACTCAGCTGTAGGTACTAGTCCGAACAACTCCTCTGAAAATTCTCAATAGTAAAGTGTATAAGTAAGTGGATAGGATCGCGCTGTCAAAATACAAATTGTGCAGTCTGCGAATATTGTATGAACAATGTTACAGTGGTCCGGTGATTGTTATTGCTCAACTCGATAATATTAATAATAAAACAATTTTTTACCTGATTGAAGTTAAGTATTTCCAATTATTTTTCATAATCTTCTGGGATCCAATAAAATCCAAATTAAAATCTCAAGATAAACAATCCGCGAAAATAGAGGACACCTTGAGCCATTTCTGCCAAAACAGAACATCTTTTAGTCGATACCAACTTTTTTTCTACAGCTGTGATACTTTTTGACATCCAACACCTTTTGTCTTCAGTCACCGTCACCACGCACGCTGTTGTAAAGCACGCGAAACGTCGGTTAAATTTAAAATTATAAAAAATAATTGTAAATACACAACTTCAATCCGGTAAAAAATTGTTTTATTATTATATGTGTGAAAGTTATGTCGATAATATTATTCACAAAGGATACACATGCACCTGTATACGAAAATAGCTATGTTTTTTTTCAACTCTTATAAAGCCTCCTTAAACGGTCTCCATCTCTCTCTATCTAATGTATTTTTCCTTCCAATCTTCCCCTTTTTCTTTTCCCTGGTGGGCCTTTTCACCTTGTTACCCCGTTGGTCCATCTGTCATTGTTCATGCGAGCGATGTGACCCTTTAGTTTTTGCAATGGGAAGACTTACTCGACTTAAAGTGCTATGTCCCCCAAGTGGGGCAGAGGGCAGCCGGATCGGTCCTGGGCGGTCTCTTAATTTCACACCACGTCATTCCAGCTTCCTTTCGCCTTCCATTCGCCTCTGCCGCCGCTTCGTCGCCAGGTCCTTTGGGCGGCTTTCTTTCGCCTTAAGGATTCCAGTCGAAGGCATGTTTGGCAAGGTGACATTGCGATAGTGTATCAATAATTTTTGTTTTATTTAGTTCTGTATTTATATTATCTTTTAGTAACATACCGATAATGCTTATAAATTATCGTGCAACTGAAATATTTGCTATCAACCAAGATCATGATCTAATGTATGAACTAAAACCGGTAGTAACGGGAAAATACTATCACTAGAACGTACTGATAGCTGGTATCGAGAAAACAATGACTTATGCCTTATATAAAAATTAATACTAGCTGACCCGGCAAGGAAACATTTTTTTAGTTGAATAAAAATAACTATCTACAATAATAAAAAATAGGGGTTGATCGTAGAGGGGTGAAAATTAGGGGTTGTACATATGTATTTTTGTATGCTGTATCATAAATAAATAAAAACAATTTTTTTTTCTAAAAAACAAACAATAATTTGTTTGTAGTAGACACCCCTTATCACTGAGGGGTTCGAAAGATAGATAGTAGCCGATTCTCAGACTTACTGAATATGCATAAGAAATTTCTTAAGAATCGGTCGAGCCGTTTCGGAGGAGTATGGGAACGAACATTGTGACACGAGAATTTTAGATATTAGAAAACTTTATCAAACATTTGCTTTATTACCGAAATTGCAATGATATAAGATTAATTACCAAGGCGATAGTGTCGATGTGTGATATGTGTGTGTGTGTCTTGTCTATAGTAATATAAGACAAGTAGGTGATCACGTGAAAATCCATTGCTCAGTCATATTTGAACAACCTCTCAGCACAACGCTATTGTCAAAGCTTAGAGCTTAAAAAATTAAGATAATAAATAAAAACCATCGAATGAAGCATTCTTCCCTGAGGGCTGAAAGTCTTCCACGTTCAGTTTTACAAGATATTTTCTTTTTTGACATCTACTGCCGGGTTTTGCCTGGGAAATACGACCTCCAATTGTTTAGAGAAAGAGTATACTCCTCCCTCAAAGGCCGGTAACCCACTAAAATGGGGTGTATGGGCTGCGATGACTGCCTTTTTTGGGCGCTGTAATGTAAGCTGTCATAATATCCAATACATAGAATTTTTTTTATATTCATTTCAGTAACATCTATTGCCATGGGCCATTACTGGAAACTGTACAAATGGCAGGCCTGTACAATGACTCCAAAACCTTCGTGGATATGAAGATAAAGTCGTCTCCGAAGATCACCATGGACCGCTTTCATGAAATGATGAACAGGTAACTTACAGTTTGACAGTGGGAAAGGGAGCGTTCAAGTATTACGTCGCGCAATTTTTTGAGATTATTGACCCCTACCCCCCATGTAACGCGCCGTAACGTTTTTCTGTACCAAAGTATAGTAAAACGTTTCATAACCACCTAGTGACTCTTTATACCTAAAAGCTACCATTATGTGGTTGTAAAGTACTGGAAAGTCGAAAATAATATTAACAAATTCCATCCCCGCCCCGCATCCAAACGTTTTACAAAAGGACCCCCCAAATTCGTTACGTAATGGCGCGTCTAAACGGGCCTTTGTGCACGTGGCTGCAACCTAAATATATTTAAACAATAGCAGCCACTATGCAATATTGCTTTCCCGGCCATATTTCCAAACATGTTTTGTAAATTTTAGACTTGTTTTAATAACAAGCATAGCTAGTCTCTTGTTGTTTCAGTCACTCCCTTTGTTATGGAAAGGACCTTTTCTAGCACATGCTTTGTTGAGTGAACTGTGCGTTTCTGTTTTGCGATCAGCTGTATTTGACGTTAGATTGACCAACGTAGAAAATGACTACTTTTGACATTCTAGTTCTTGAATAATTTATTATAAAGACTTATTTCTAGACTCAAATTGCTCTATTAGTTTCACGCCTATTTAAGTAAGGTCGAATAATCTCTTCTTTTTCTGTTTCTTTTAAATTCTGCGACAAGTGTGATTTCGTCAGCCATTGTTGCCGGTTTGTGTAGCCCGTTTAGGAGTCTGATCATGGGCCATACTATTGCAGACATATTCCAACACATTGCCCAGCAAGATTGTTCCGGCCATCAGCTGCATTAAAATATTTTTTAATGGCCGGGCAATTAGTGGCCAACAGTGCCATCAATTTCTGCAAAACAGGCTCGTTTAGAGCGCCATAATACTTGAACGCTCCCTAAATATATTTACGAAGTTTTATTTCAATCAGCAAATTTTAGACTTGTTTTAATAACAAACATACAATGAGATATTGAATGAATATGCTAATGGTAAACTCAATACTCGCTCTAATTAAAAACTATATAAAATACTTCACACGAAAGCTATATTATTGCTATACAAAATATGTTTTAATTTAATATTTTTCAAGGCTGCGTACATTTTTGTATTTCACGCTGATATTTCTGAGTTTGTTAGGAGCCAATTTTGACCCTGAGGGTTCGGAGTTCGAAGAATGGACACCGACAGACTGGAAAAATAATCCTGGTAAGTTTAACAATTAGATGTTTTTTGTTTGTTTTTTTAATTTGAAATTTTGTATTTAAAACGTGTGTAAAGAATAACGTCTGTCGGGTCCGCTAATTCGAAATAAACGGGATTTATTTACTAAATATATGTATATATAATTATCATTAGGTAAACAATATTTCATCATTACGATTTAACTTTGTATTTCTTTATTTATTTTGCATTTAAAACCTGTTTTAATTTTCTTCATGGCTATTAGTTTGACCTGTATGTATATTTAGACTTTATAAGCACGTGCGCTAAACCACGTTTGTCCATAAATTTCTCGTAAATTAAATAATATCGAGATGAACCTTGTATATAGTTTAAACCTCTGAACACTCCATGGTAAATGAAAAATAAAACTAATGAATCGTTTATGATTAAAGTAATCGTTCCACAACGGAGCGTTTTTTAAGCCATTTTTGCCGCGCAGCACTATGTGGAACCAGCTACCCACTGAAGGATTTCCATACCTATTTGGGTGGAAAAGAAAAGAGCGTACCAATTCTTAAAGGCTGAGAACAACAAAAAACCGACACCCTGAAGTTAGCTATATGTAGTTAACATTTTAGTTTTTTTTATAGTGCTAACTACTACTATTGATGCTGTATTTGTACGATATTTAGACAATGTTTCTACAAGATTATTTGTATCATACTATACTATTATAAGCCTCTTGTAACTCACATATCTACTGAACTCCAACCAATGGCCGTGAAATTAAATAGTAAATATCAATACATATGTCTAAGTTGCATGCTGAATTAAAAATGTAGAAATATTTTTTTGTGATATTTATATATACTTGATTTAACTAGATAATGCGTTATAATAAAACTTTCAATGTATTAAATACCTTTTTCCTATTGTTAGTGTAATTTTTTCTACAAACGTAGAATAAAATTTTTATCTAGTTGCGCCAAAGAAGTATAATTTCTGACGCGTGTACTTATGTACACACGTTTTTTTTCTAAATTACTTCTTTTAAGTTTCCAAATACACTGAAACAATTTTTAATATGTATTGTTAATTCATATTTATATTTCCAGCGTTCCTAGAAAAAATTAAGGATCCCCTCCTTCACCAATGGGCTTCTGATCTGAATAAGTTATGGTTAGAGCTGGGCAGAAAGATGAAGGATGAGGTCAAGCATAATCAGGATCTCTACTCTATCATTTATGTTGATAACCCGTTTATTGTCCCTGGTAAGTACTTTATAAAATGTCACATGCTGGGCTACTCTGTAAGACCCATCAAAACGTAACCAAATGTCGATGTACAATATGCGTAGCAAACTAAACCTCAATATTGAAACCGGAAGCGATATGTGAGCCTCCTGCCCGTTTGCCCCCCGTTCTATAAAAAAATATATTAAAGTTACGGAGTAAGCCTGCTGATCTTCCTCGTGTTATGCATTGGTGATGACACCACAGCTCCATATTCTGCAAATTTGATTGTCAAATATATGCATTCACTTCCAGTGCAACTGTTGGTCGATTACGAAAATAAATCAACCACCCGCTTTTGGGTCTGGGCTGATTAGGTTTAAAGACATTTATTATCATAACAGACAATAGTCACTTACATGAGAACTTATACACTAACGGCTCATGCCCACGTCCTCTATGTCCGATCGACAGTCTTGTATGGGACACTATGACGCCATGATAGGTTTCTGTTAACATGGGAGGGTACAACAACAATGTCGTCTATGTATTTCTTTTTCGTCTTTTTTTAGCTTTTTATACATACCACGCAATAATACATTTCCCCCCTTTTAACACTCAGAACATTTTATACGTCCGCAATTCATTGAATGAAAAGAGCGTATGAAGGGGCATCGATAAACCGGGTGTTACAAACCGTCTTGTGTGCAGCTCGGACGGTTTCTACCGGGCGGCCAAAACCGGGCGGTGTTGAAACCGTCTCGTGGGCATGAGCCCTAAATATACAATTTATCACGTCGTGGGTCATTGAAGAGCTTCAAGGATGAATTAGCGAAGTAGAACTTGGGTGGACTTTCATTTACGTAGATAACTGGGATCACTCAGGAGGTGATCTTTTAGACGTAATTTAAATATCGCCAGGCTGTCTGCACTTTTTATATTTTGTGGAAGTCTGATTTCTGTATCTATTTCGTGATTAGTTTTTTATAATAGACTAGCAGCTGATCTGTCTACTGCAGCTGATACACCCCATCAACTCTGGGTCTAAAGCATACCGACTTCCTCACCCATTTTCTTCACCATATGAGAGTGTTAAATGCACACTTAGAAACTCCATAACCCGAGCTCGCATATATTTCCTCAGGGAGGGAAGTCGTTAAAACCACTCGGCCTACACTGCTCACACTCGTAGCAATAACGTCTCGTATTTTAGATATAGAAACAGCCTTACAGAATCCTCGCATCTATCTGAAGAAATTAAAATCCAAATGTTTGTGTTTCAGGTGGACGATTCCGTGAGTTCTACTACTGGGATTCCTATTGGATCATCAAGGGTCTACTTCTTTCCGAGATGCATTCTACTGCTCGTGGGATGGTCAGCAATTTCTTGGATGTAGTGGACCGGATTGGCTTCATACCCAATGGAGGGAGAATTTATTATAAGATGAGGTAAAATATTTTTAAAATTATTTATATTATTTATACTATATATGAAAAAAACTTAATAGAAATAATTAAAGAGAAATTAATAAAATTGCAATTGCTTAGGCGTTAAAGATTAAAGTTAGCGCCTGGTAGATAGTACCCGTGACCCCAGAGCTGGTGCTTTCCTGGCTCAAAAAAGGTATCGTAATACAGCGAGGAAAAAATTAAAGGTACACTGCCACAGGGAACAAAATATTTATCCATTTTTAATAATTAATTAGGTTAAGAATATTCTGAATACTGTATATTTGTGTGTTGGAAATAATAAATATATTTCAAGGAAGTTTTAATTTTTCCCAGATACATTAATTTCTCCCTAAATAGGTTATATTTCTCTAAAAGTTGGCTGTAAAATCATACCTTTTTCTTTATTTTTTTGCCTGTCTTTTGCAACATTCCGTTTTTTAAATTTTCAGATCTCAGCCACCACTTCTAATTCCAATGGTAAAGTTAATTTTTGACGATTCCGGAGACGTGGAATACTTGAGGCAGCACATACATACTCTAGACCGCGAGTTTGACTATTGGGTCACAAATCACACAGTCGATTTTGAGTATGATGGACAAAAGTAAGTGTTATGTTTGCCCCATTTTTTAAGCCCATGAAAATGTAGAAAATCAAAGAAATTGAAATATATAAAAAACACTCGCTTTATTTTTTTACTTAAATAAATTTAACTTGCAGTTACCAACTTATGAGGTATACAGATATGTCGCAAGGACCCAGACCCGAAAGTTACAAAGAAGACATTGACTGTGCTAAGTAAGTTATATCCTACTTAACTCCTAACTTCCAAACTTAACGCACACCACATATCACGTGACAAATGACGTCACTGACAATTTACTTCCGTGTAAGAAATCCTCTCAATCAGACAATATTATCTTTAAACTAAGTGAAAGTATTTTCCTTGTGTTCTAATCCTTCCATGTAACATAATTGTTTAGCTTTTAACCTTATCCAAAGCACAAAGCCACTGAATAAAAAAACATAGTGAACGTAAAGCTGTCTACACACCAAAGCCGCCGGCACGAACTCGGCGGACAAGGCCGGCCGCCTTGGTTTTAACGATGTTGCCGGCGGCTTGCGCCCGCGCTATCTACCCCACGGCAATTTACAATTTTCCCGGCTCGCAACTTCTAAAGCCGCCGGGTTCACCCGCCGGCACTAAGCCCCGGGTTCGTGCCGGCGGGCCGGCGGCTTCGGTGTGTAGACAGCTTAAAGAATAAGTTCTCATAAGTCAAATATCTTTGTAGAAGCTGTGATTAGTTAGCGTAATTTCTTTCGCTAAATCTACTCTTTAGAGCCATAACCTAAAACCGTCTATAAACAAAATCAACATTTAACTTTCCAGGCACTTTGACTCGCCCGATAAAAAAGAGGAATTGTACGCGGAACTAAAAGCAGCGGCGGAATCAGGATGGGACTTCTCGTCTAGATGGTTCATACTCAATGGAACAAATAAGGGTACTCATAATATATTGTCTTTATGTAGATATACTTTCTCTAAACGATATCTTTATGAACTGTTTTAAACTCCCTTGGCGTAGCTGATTCTAGGTTTTATCTTCTGGAAAAGAAATTAAGAAGAATTACTCCTTTCCTTTCAAAACAGTTCCCTAAATAATATTTACAATAACGCGTAATTCAATCCCCGCATCATAACGTTAAAAGACCCCCCTCCAAAAATCGTTACGTAATACTTGAACGCTCCCATAGTCACTTTAACAATATATTTCGTATAAAGAAAAATATAACCCAACGTTTTTTACAAACAAAATTCAATATTCATCTATTGAGTTCCCAAAAAATAGTCCAAATAGAGGAACGGAAAGCACAAAGTTGTTGGTTCGTTCAGAGTTGGTCGTTTTTCTCAAAATATATACAAGATTCACGTTATTTGTGAACTTTATTTAATTTATTATTATACCGTGCTCGGCTCGCGCATCAATAAACTTATCAAAATTATATTTTTACAGGGAATCTAACAAACCTTAAGACTCGGTCGATCATCCCAGTTGACTTGAATGCAATAATATCTTGGAACGCTGAACTAATGGCTGACTTCCATTTAAGACTTGGGAACACGGCGAAGGCAGACTACTATAAAGATGTTCACGCTTCATTGTTGCAAGCTATTGAAAATGTAAGATGTCTTACAGGGTATAATACTTGGGTCAAGATATTTGCTTTTAATTTAAAAAATATTATTTTAAGCTGTACAGATGACACAAAGCTTTTATCTATAATTACATACCTATCCACTATTTGTTCCGCGCGGTTTCATCTATATTATGTTATGTATTTATTTTCAAACTATAGTATGTTCAAAAATATTCAATAATGTAATAATGTTTTTTTTTATTTGTGTGTATCTATGTGTGTGTGTTTCGTCCCCCCAAATTCGTTACATAATACTTGAACGCTCCCTATGATGCAAACATTCAAATTACAAGAGCTTCAAAATTATCGGGTATTTCCCGATAGGTTCGTTGCAAACAAATGAAGGAGTCAAGTTTTTCAAGTGTCGGCCAATAGAATTGCACCATGAGACGAAATGTACAGTTAACAAATAAGAATTTCATAATGAATAAAACAACTACTTAATACTTTTCTTGAAGTAATTTGGCAGTCTGATTCCACATTGTTTTTATTGTACCTTCCTTATAGTCTTCTCCATCCATTTTCTTCATATTGTAAGCGTAATCTTTCATAATGTTTGCCAATTGCGCTTCACTCGTTTCAGCACTCAATGTGTATTCCCTCTCAGTACAAAAAGTAGTAAATTGGTTCCAAACTGTTTTTTTGACTTCTCCGTATTAATGGGAACATTTCCTTTGACTTTTTTATCGATGGTGGACAGAGAACAAACTCCAAATCGACTCATTTTCATGCAAAATCTCCAATTTTCACAATTGAATTCAACCTGTCAGTTTGACGTGTGGTTAATTTGACTGGATCATGTTTTGTTTTTTATATATAGCAACTACCAGAGAAAATTTTCAAAAAATTATCAGTATAATACCATGTAGGTTGTACCACGTGACGTCGAATGGTGCAATTCGATTGGTCGATATTTGGGTCGGAAAAATAATCATTGAAAAAATTATGATGATATTTTAAAGGGTTTTTAAAATCTTGCATTAGATTAACTGATGACTGACGCACACATTACATGTACCTTAAATTTTACACTTTTTTTTAATTTTCCTTTCTTTGATGATTATTATTATGTGTGTATCTATGTGTGTGTGTTTCGTCCCCCCAAATTCGTTACATAATATTTGAACGCTCCCTATGATGCAAACATTCAAATTACACACACATGCAAATTAGTAAAACATTAAACTTACATTATATTACTTATTTACATTGAAAATAACTTTTCTTAACTTGCTTTTAATAGTTTTCGCCCTTTAACACAGTTAAAACCTTCAGTATCCAAGAATCACATTCAAATCGACACCACCACACTGGCAGATAACAACAATGACACACACAGATTGTTGCCACAAGAAGAAATTACTTCTAATAATTTTCCGCAATATGGCAATGATTTTTATTTTATTGGTCAGGGTTTAGTGTCGCTTTAACAACTATAACTGCTGTTAAATTAATTTAAAAAAAACAGTATTTTATGTTAGACTATAACCGTTTATTAGCTTAAATAGGCTACAGTAGAATTAAAGTAAACACGGTATCTATAGTCCACGTTTTATATGGCCGATTATTTTACATTGTATTTGTGTGTGTAATTTCAGGTCCTATGGCACGAGGACGTCGGTGCCTGGTTAGACTTTAACTTAGAGTCTAGACGTCGAAGAGACTATTTCTATCCTTCAAACATCGCTCCTTTATGGACTGGCTGCTATGACAGAGCGAGAAAGGAATACTATGTCAATCGAGTCATTAATTATTTGGATAAAGTCAAGGTATTTTCTTTCATGATAAGCTTATTCATATCATTCAATTAGTTTTAAAGGTTCTGGGTTTGCCTCCTGAGCTTTTAATCACATACAAAAACTTTCGTCTGCAGCTTACCTAACCATTTTTCTCGTCCACACGTACGTCGACGTATACTTCGTTACGGATACTACGTTCACAGAATAACCTATCTAATAAAATAATTATCATCATCGGACGTCGAGGCAGAATACGAAATTCCACCCGTATCACCTCGACGTCCGCCGTTCCACAACTGAGCGTTTTTCAAGGCATTTTTTGCCGCGCACCACCACTATGTGGAACCAGCTGCCCACTGAAGTATTTCTGAACAAATTCGACTTAGGGTCCTTCAAGAAAAGAGCGTACCAATTCTTAAAAGGCCGGCAACGCACTCGCGAGCCCTCTGGCATTGAGAGTGTCCATGGGCGGCGGTATCACTTAACATCAGGTGAGCCTCCTGCCCGTTTGCCCCCCGTTCTATAAAAAAAATCAAGATATTCAGAATATCGAACCAAGAAATAGCTTTACTAATAACGTTTATTAATTACGATAAGCGCGTAAAACATTTAACGATTAGTGACTTCGAACGAATATCTTTCTGTCCGTATTCTTCGCTCACCAAAATCTAGTTTCAACGACTGTCATAACATATTTCTTGTTAGTTTAACATGTTTGGACCGTTTACTGGCTTGAAATACTCGCACTACGTTTATATATATACTTATAGAGAGGAAATATTTAATTGTTCGTTTGCATTAGGCTCCGAAACTACTGGACCGACTTCAAAAATTCGTTCACCGTTGGCAAGCTACACTATTCCAGGGTGACATAGCCTGTATTATATTCTTAAAAATATTAGGGATTCTTACTAAAACTCCAATAACGTAACCCGAAGTTAAATAAATTACCCAAACAATTCCTTACAACGCGTCGCTACGAAAACTATTGATGATGGAACAAAATGTACGACACCGTTGCAGAACTCATCATTACCTACAAAAAGTGTCGCGACAGCATATATCTATCCATTATAGTTATGTCGCATAAGTGTTTTAGTTCAGAATAAAGTAGAGTAATGGATTTTTTGTGGGCCCCGTGGAAACGCTTTAGTTAAAATTTCCAATGTATCATAATATAGTACTGGTAGAAGGAATCCCATATTTTGTACATTATTATTATAATAAGGGAGAATTCCTGAAATATTTATTCATTTTTGTGTCTTAGTTAACATAATTAAAGGAATTAAGTGAGGGCCAGCGGTGAATCCAAAAAAAAACAAAATATATTTGAATTACTTTAATTAAACTATTACGAACTTAATTAAATATGACAATTGAATCGGCCCGATAGAGCACGATGGATAATCTATATTTTAGACTTGTTATTAATTTGAGAATTTGACCGGTCTGATATGAGGTATCCGACCAAAGCTATCGATGTCTGTTGTCCGATTCCTTTTATAATGCTGTTGCTTATGCGGGGCAAAGGGGTGCAATGGACAAAACAAAGGAATACTGGTTTATGTTTTCTGATTATCCAAAAATAAACAAAAATAATTTTATGTATCTAGGTGGACATCTTCGAAGGCGGTATACCTACGACGTTTGAGCATTCCGGAGAGCAGTGGGACTATCCCAATGCCTGGCCTCCTCTGCAATACATTTTCGTGGTGGGATTGGACAACACCGGCTTACCAGAGGCTAAACGATTGGCTAATGAATTGGCTACGAAGTGGGTTCGGTCGAATTTCGAGGTGTGGAAGGTGAAGACTGCTATGTTGGAAAAGGTGAGTTTTTCAACATACTCAACATTTGTCGACATCACAGGAGACCAAAGAGCTGGCAGCTACCTCGGGCAAAGAATTGGTCTAGCGATTCAAAGGGGGAACGCTGCCAGTATCTTCGGAACCTTGCCTAAAGGGACTCCTTTTAATAATATATTTCAGTTTAGTTTTTTTGCTACAAATATGTCTATGGCAGCCAAAAACAGGCGGACTAAGAAAGGTCGAAGCTCGGACCGAGCTTTGAGTTTTTATTTGAAACTAGCTGGCCTGGCGAACATCGTACCGCCTAACAGTCGATTCTTTATTTTTTTAAATACTTATTCTGCTATTCGGAACACCGGTATAGCTAGTAATATAAAAAAAATAAAGTTGATAAGGAATATTATAAAAAAGTATTGGCCAAATTGGTCCAGGCGTAAAGCGCTTACCAACACATTTTGCGATTCATTTTTATATTATAGACTATACAATACATAGATACCACTTAATTAAGGTCAGTGGTTTTTACGGACCTTGTTAAAATTTTCTTTCATTTTCCGGACCACATCTAAAACTACTTGCTGACCCCTGCTCTATAAACTAAAATCTTTTTTCTAGTATGATGCGACGATTTTCGGTGGATTTGGTGGAGGCGGTGAATATGTACTGCAGACAGGTTTTGGATGGACCAATGGAGTGGTTATGGCTCTGCTAAATCGATATGGAGGTAATTTTTACAAATTGAGATACGATATCTTATATATCGAACTTATAAATGTATGTTTATAATGTAACAATTTTTAATTAGACAAATACAGTTCCAATGATTTAACTAGGAGCTAGATAAAAAAAATTATTACAAAAGATAGAAGTAAATCAAAACAAATTGTCTATAAATTTCCCTGAGGCAGTAATACTTTTATTTATGTAGCAATTTATTTCGCTTTAAGGCTTCAAACATCATGTCACTTGAAAACATCAACTTAAGTTATACTTGTATGGTGAAATCCTTTAACCCAATTACACCATTTTCAGGTTCTGTTTCATTCACCACCTTCTATACTAAATCACGGCAAATTTACTAACATTCATTTTTCTTTTTCTTTCATCACTCATGGAAGTTGGTGACTTGGGTATGTTATAAGTACTGGTGAATGTAATGCATGCTATAGTAATGTAATTGAATTGTACAATTTCTTTTGTATGCAGACATTATTAGGTGTAAATGTTATTTAAACAGCACGCATCCCATACTTAAGCCCGTCCCATTTTCCAGGGTTTACCACATCCATTCGGCCGCTTGTTCCTTCCGTTCTTATCATGATGCTTAAAATTGCAAATGCACTAGAAAAGCTACTAAAATTGTATCAATGAAATCGTCTAGACCAAACGACTTTCGTCTCTTACTGGCATATTGTGTTTAGACCATGAAAGTGACCAAGAGCTGCTTACTTATATTGTACAATTAGTTTGATTTATTTTTAAACAAAAGTATGATTATAATGTTACTATTTGTTTGATTTCAACAACATTCTAAACGTAATTTGTCAGAAAGAGATAATAAAATTTCTACAAACACTAGTAAAAAGACTTTCTAAAATTTCCTTGTTTTCAATTCATATTTTTATTTGTGAATCTAATTTATTTTCAGCTATAAGGCTTCAAACATATGTCACAACATTGAAAACATCAACAATTATGTAATATTTTTATGGTTAAATCCTAATCCTTAATTTACACCATTATTTAGGAAATGTTTAATTTAATTTCTCTCAATAGGCTAAGGTTTATTTAATATTTAATTTTCTTAATTTCTTTCTCACTGCATGGAAGTTCAGGTGAACTTATGGGTTGTTATAAGAACTGTTTGGTATGAGGTATGTATAGCCTGTTAGAAACAATTTCTTTTGTATGAGGCATTAAAAGGTGTAAATGACCTTCTTTAAACGGTGTTATACTTGCTGGAACACTTGAAGCTTTAAAATGTTATTGTTCCTTCGTTATAATCTTAAGCTTAAATCTAAACCTATAAAAATTGTCTACTAATATAATTGGTATGATATGAAATCTTTAAAATAATTACATCTTCTTATTGACATATTATTAAAACGTTTCAGAAACTTAAAAATACTTAATATTTAATTGGTTATGATCAATTAGTTTTTATTTATTATTTATAAATTAGAGAATATATGTTCTCTCTGTCTGAATCAACACATCTGGTAAACATTGATCTGGCGAAAGGATGGATCAAGTTAAACATGGAATAGACTATTTGAATGGCTTGTTTTCAACAAGTTGAATTTGTGAATCTATTAATTCAGATGAAATAAACGTATATTCACAACATTAAATCACCCAAAAGCTTTTAATATTTTTATGGTTATTTCTAATCCTTACCACGTTTAAATTATTTATAGCCAATGCCATCAGTTCTTCTCGCGTATCGTGATATGTGGTGATTTTTACAGATTCTTAATTTCTGTAGCTGATGCGTTCGCTGAACGAGCGGGTCTTGAACTCGTTGGTGCGCACGTAGGTGCCTGGAGCGAAAATGGCCACTGCGGTACTCAATGGTTTATGACATCCATCGCCCGGTGCTTTATGGTGAGGTATGTATCATTTGAGAAACTAATTATTTATTTTTCACGACATTTATTTATAGTAATTATATTAAAATTTTGTGTCTATTGCAAGAGATGTTTGCTTAAGCTCTACTATTATGACAAATGAATAATAAATAAAATTTAAAATGCGAATTTATTTCTTATCAAAAATAAGTTTTGTAATAAAATTACACAAACTTAAAGATTTTTAATATTTATTGGCGCGTTATGAAAAATTCATGGGTGTATTTAATTATGATGTTGTGCGCGCACTGACAAAAATTGGCTATGTTTTAGCTGCCAGCGAGATTGGAATAAGACAAACTACAGTAAATGATATAGGAATATGTGGATCAGGCTAAACTTCATGCATATTTTATCTTCTTCTTAACAGAATTTTGTATATAACACATGACATAGGAGCATCTGACTAATGACATTTACCCTTAAAAATATAGGAGTTTTAATTATTGTTTAAAATTAATAATTAAGACCTAGTTACTTTCATTCATACAAAGCATATTTGTAAAATAAAATAAAATATTTGTACGAAAAACTGTACTAATCTTCCTTTTGTAGTGCTTCAAGTACAATTGAGGTTAACTATACGTATGTATTATCGTGTATTATTGTTGATTAAAACTGAAGACATGAACCATTATTCATTGCTTTTGGTTATTGCGTTTGTTAAGCTATTTTTTAATCTTCTTCGTACCCTATATATAAATAAGTTTTGAACAAAGTTTAAGCACGAGTATTCTATCACGTAACTAGAAAAATATAGGCTTAAGCGATACGTAACAAAGAAGTTAACATTTTTATGACGTGCATTTCTAAAAAATTAAATTATTTAATCAAAACATCAGATGTTATTCTAGTTAATATAAGGTACAATCGAGACAAAAAGCAATTGATGAATCAGTGGTAAGTGTACTAAATTGAATTAGCAAAAAGAGAGTTGTCATCTTGTCGACGCGAAACGTCATAAACTTGGGGTCAAACAAAGTCTTCATCACTTTCTCCAGAACAACGGTTTGAAGTAGCATCTTCAATGAATTTGATTTTGATGGTTGTGAACGAGATGCTGGGAATGTTAATTTACCAATCCATGATGTATGGTGATGTTCCTCGAAGGTTCAGCCTTTCGACACCATAGGCATTGCTTCAACCCTTATTTGCATTCTCTACAGGAGTAGTTAAAAAGAAAATGTAATGACGGCTCAGGAAACACCATGTTGCAATTGTAGTACTGCCACTCTGTCCGAAAATGCCAGAAGTTGTAGCCCATTCCCACGTAGTAATGACAGTGTAATTCTAAATTTAACCTGAGTACCTGGCGAACTAATTAAATGTTGTTTTAAATTAATAGATGTTATTTTATTTTTCAGGTTAATACAAATTAAAATCTTTATTTTTGAAACAATTTCATATCCTAATAGCAAATAAATTTTGCCAACAATGACCCCAAGGTAATAAAAGTTTCTACAAACACTTGAATACTAAAAAGGCCCCGTGATGGGTGCACATTCAGTGAGACATAAGTTTACAATTTCATTATTTTGGTTGGATTACATCAAGGATAAAGAAAATCATTTGTCGAACTTATTATTTAGAATCTCCAAATAGTACTCCAAATAAATTTAAGGTATGACAGGTGATTGATTCATGGAAAATTATAAAATCCAAAGAATAAAATGGAAAGTTGCGATCCAGGGTCCCCACCATTCCTACATAGTTATATTAGTAACACACGTTTACATAATTATTAATATAAATGTCCTAAAAACTCATCACCCGTCGCGTAAAAATTGAAGTTTGGTGCATTTGGACAGAGCTTAAATTATCTTCTACTTGTTCGGAAAGCAAGTAGTTTTGCGTCGTCGGCGCACAAGTAGGTACTGGGGAGGTTTACCATTACGAACCACTCATTCTGATGACATCATAGTCGCTGGAAAAATATAGTGTAGGAAGATAAATTTTTTAAAGTAAATAGTGTTTTATTTGTTTAAGTAACAGTATTTATAGATATTTATATTAATTAATTTTGTGTCAAATGTAGAACTGAGACTTTATTGACTTTAATGACTCCTTTTCCCGACTTTGATTATTTAATGAAAATAACTATTTGATGAAATGCGAAATTTTTTTATATGCCAAATATTAAGTTCTTACGTACCCCATAAAATTACACATTCTATAGAATTTTTTTTGATACAAATAGTTGCAAAATTGCATGGTAAGAATGTGAGAGTAGACCGAATAGAAAAATTCGTACCTACCCCTATTAAAGTGATATATTAAGTATGGAAGTTAAAAGCAAGTTTGCTTAGAGTCTGAATTCATAAAATTACTAATAATAATTATAGATAAAATGTTTAATTCAAAGAGTACACAGTTTCGTTAATATTTCTTTAGCTCTTATATTTGGTGCCGCGCGCCTTTTTCAGAATCTGTACTTGATGCTAATGTCGCAGACAACTAGCTTAATCAGCCGTTCAATCAACAGCCTAGCCTCTTAACTAAACAGCGCCGATTAACAAGAGGCCTGAAAGATATTCAGCCAGTTGATCAAACAGTTAGGCAAACGACTTGGAAATTTTGTATAGAATTATTTTTTCGAAAATTATCTAAATAGTTAATCTCTTATTACTATATACTCCTAGAGAAATACAACAAATCAAATTAACAAACTAAACCATGAAAATCGGTCTAGCCATTCTCTTGCCGACTTTGTTCCATATATGAAGATTTTTAATCTGTGAAACTGTTTTAGGATAGGTCCAATAAATATTTTATTTCTCCTTTTTATTAAAGTGTCTCTTTTAATAAATGACTAAACTTATTTTTCTTTGTTTCAGATATGCGGTTTATTTCCAAACGAGGCACATTAAAGTAAGAACGTTTTATTATATATTTACGTAATGTCAGATAGGTATAGTTATTAAATACTAAGAAATTATTAAAATACACTTTATGGGACTTAATAACACGTGTAAAACTATGATGAGAGCTGTTAGCTTGATGTAATTAATTGCCGATTCGAATACTAATAATATTTGAACCGTCTCATATACAGCGATACTCTGTAACTCTCAATAGCGATCCTGACGTTTTTTGTATGGCTATTGGAAGCTTGATGGCGCTGCGTAGAGATGCAGAGGCTTATTACGCACGGGCTTAGGTCTTAAAGTCTATAGTACGTACTCCTTACTATAGAGTTACTAGCTGACCGGGCAAACGTCGTTTTGCCATAGAGTTATAGCTGACCGCATGTTTTGCCATAAATATCATTTATAATAAAAAAAGGGGTTGATTGTAGAGGGGTGAAAGTTAGGGGTTTTGTATGTATTTTTTAATGCTGTATCATAAAAAAATAAAAACAGAAAAAAATATCTAAAAATAAAAAAACATATTTAGGGGTGGACTACCCTTAACATTTAGGGGGATGAAAAATAGATGTTGTCCGATTCTCAGACATACCCAATATGCACACAAAATTTCATGAGAATCGGTCGAGCCGTTTTGGAGGAGTATGGCAACGAAAACTGTGACACGAGAATTTTATATATTAGATTAGTACACTAATACACTTTACCATGGAGAATGTTCAGAGGAGTTGTTCGGATTAGTACCTGCAGCTGAGTTTCATCATCGGAAGTCGCAGAATACGAAATTCCACCAGTATTACCTCGACGTCCGTTGTTCCATAACTGGAATTAAGGTAGTTTCTGCTGCGCACCACCACTATGTGGTACCAGCTGACCACTGAAGTATTTCCGAACTAATTAAACTTCAAGAACCGAGACTACCAATTCCTAAAAGCCCGGCAACGCACCCGCGAGCCCTCTGGAATTTTAGAATCCATGGGCGGCGGTATTATCTAACATCAGGTGTGCCTCCAGTCCGTTTGCCCTTTGTTCTATAAAATAACAGAATTTCTTCTAATACGCGCTGATTTTGATTACCTACAAAAACACAAATTATTAAATTGACGTTAGATATAACAGGCAAGGGACTTCACTTACTTGCTTGCAAAGTGTTCTTTGTGATACAGAAATTAAAAAAAAGAAAGGGAAGGCAATTGAAGAAAACGCACTTTTTGAAGTAATACTTCTTTAGGCGCGTTATGAAAAATTGATGAGAGTGAAATTTTACAATGCGCGTGCACCGTTACACGTTACGTACGTTATCAGTATGAAGTTGCCCACTAACGAATTTTTTTTTTTAATAATAATTATAAATCGTTTAATAGCAAAGAAAGGAGTACATTTAGATTGATTAAATATAAAAAACCGCACAATCAGCCATATAAAAATAGGCATGCAAATGTCATATTAATTTCTTTTTCACGCGTTTTAATCCGATAAAGTGTATTGTTACTATATTATAATTACTAATACCAGTAGAAAAACTTAATAGTAGTCAAATGTATTATAAGTACAAATATTCCTATATTATGATAACTTAGTACCATACGAAGTGAGTTAGAATTTATACGGAATAGATAAATAAGGACAGATGAGTGAACATATATTATATGTGAAATTATATATTAACAAAAATAAAAGCGTACCAATTCTTAAAAGGCCGGCAACGCACTCTTGTTGTCTTGTTCTATAAAATTTAAAAAAAAAACATGTCAACGTCGTAACAAAACATTGGTAAAATAATTGCATACTTAAGTCTTCAAGTGGAAGAGAGAAAGATGCGGCGCGAGCGCACAATGAGCGTAACAGGACAATGAGCGTAACGGGTCAATGCGCGTAACGGGACAATAAGTCATGCTTTATCGTGCGTGCGTATCTTCATCGATTTATTAGACGTTGTCACGTCAAAAACCATCCAAATTTATCTATTTCGTATATATTTTTTGTCTTTATATTAAATAGCGGTATTATATATGGTAATACCGCTATCAAATTATAGATTAATCGTATTAAAAAGTGATATATTGTATCACTTGTACTTAATTATATGTATGAATAAATTATTGTATTTATTTAAAT